TTTATTCAAAACATTTTTCTAACATAACAGGATTTCTCAGCTATGCAAGATCTTGGATATATGGCAACCACATGAACAATATTATCTCATGGTATTTATCCGATTGGTTTTTCCTTATGTAACAATTTCACCACCTAGTTTTTTTTTTCCAAAATGAAATCAGTCAACTCATGTGCATTCATCTGATATTTATCATACAGCTCTGATTCTAATAATATTCTATCTTTAACTGAAATGTTTTCACCTGTGCAGTTTTGAATGCATCAAATTTATATTCCCAGTTCACCTAGCAGATAATTTTTGATAGCCTTTGTACTAATTCAGCACTTGTCCCCGTAATGTGATGGTTGCTATAGCAACGTTTTGTACTTCTTCAATCAGATATAATAAAAAAGTAATAACAAACCAAATTCCTGCCATCAGATTATTGGAAGGTTTCATCAACCTTAGCGTTGTATCTAAAATATACCCCCAATCCTTCCGCTGGGCTAGTCAGTAATACAGAAACTTAGAGTATTGGGGGTGGATGCAGGCTAAAAGTCACCGGGCATACTTCTTCAGAGTTGGTTATCAGTTTTAGAGTCCTAGCTGTGTAGAAAAGTTTACTTCAGGCCATGGGTGAGTGAAATCTTGGAACAACTGGATAACTGCGACTCCCCGGAGGAGCTGGATTCTACATATGACTTCATCATAACTAAATTAACTCAGGCAGCAAGAGCTTCCTACAAACTTAAAGCTATTAAGCCGAAAACATTTACATCGTGGTGGAGCAACCACCTCAAGCAAAGAAGAAGCAAAATACGAGCCTTAAGAAGGCAGGTGCAAGCGGAGAATGATGAAGAACAGAAAATATTAAAGTTGGTACGCTACAGGAAGGAGCTAGCGCAATACAAAAAGCAAATCAAGGCAGCGAAACAAGAGTCATGGCGTAAGCACTGCAGTAACGTGCAAGCAACCTATGGCACATTACAGAAAATAGCCACAAATAAGGTTTTTCAACCCCTACAACTTACCGCTAAAGTAAAACAAGATGCAAAAAGCAAAACAGAAGCTCTAAACACTATCCTAGAAACAATCTTTGTTAAAGACCAGATGGAATTTTGATTTAGTAACTCACAGAGAAATAAGGCAGAAGTTTAATAGGAAAAGCTGGAAAAGCAGCAACAGAGATATTACTCTTCCTACAGACCACGAAGTTCATAATATCATCAAAGCCTTAACAGACAAAAAAGCACCAGGTCCCGATGGTATAGATAATATCATTGTTAAAGAAATTCACAAAGAATTCCCAGGTTTGTTTCCAAAATTATGCAGAGCCTGCTGGCGACTCGGCTCTGCATAATTTTGGAAGAAAATAGAAGCATGAAACTAGCCGAAATTGCACTCTTCCACAAGCAGGGCAAAGATTCGTCAGACCCGGCATCTTATAGGCCCATAAGCTTACTGCCTTCAATCAGTAAGATTTTAGAAAAAGTAATTTTGCAACGCCTTAATTTCCACATGTGCAGGAACAAGTCTATAAACGAAAAACAATATGGCTTCTGCGCAGAAAAGTCCACAGATAATGCCTTAAAACAACTGCTAGACAACATAGAGCAGAACAAAGACAACAATATGGACACACTGGTTATTTCGTTGGACATCAAAGGGGCATTCGACTCGTTGTGGTGGCCAGATGTAGTCGAATGCCTAGACATCATCAAATGCCCAAAGGAAATCCTGAATCTTATACGCAGCTACTTGCAGGATCGTTGGATACAGGTTACAACGGACAATGATGTACTCAAAGTCAAGTTGGAAAGAGGCTGTCCCCAGGGTTCCTGCTTGGGACCTACACTTTGGAATCTTGTAGCGAACACAGCCTTTGCGCTTTATGACCAACAGCAAGGAGTGGGTATCCAGGCGTATGCAGACGACTTTTTATTGGTCATTTCTGGTAGCACGAACATTAGGTTAAAGGCACAAAACGCAATCAATACTTTTGCAAGCTGGGCAAATCAGCACAAATTAAATATCTCAGCAGATAAAACTAAACAACTGTTTATATGTAAGCATGGAGCGCGAAATAGGATTCCCAACATTAAGCTAAATGGAGTCTCTATAAAAAAGGTCACTGACCTTAAATATCTAGGTATTATATTTAACAATAGGCTTTCCTGGGTACCGCATATTAAAGAGCTTAAGCAGAAAATAAATCAAATTAGTAATTCCATGGTTAGAACATCAGGACCTCATTGGGGCACTCCAATCACTATGCTCAAAAGCTGGTACAGAACAATCTCAGAAAAGATCATATTATATGGGGCTGCCATATGGGGAAGGAAGCTTACTGTCCACATAAGAAGACAGCTTCTCACCATACAAAGAATGCAACTTTTGATCATATGCAAAGGTTATAGAACATCCCTAACTGCGGCACTGCAAGTGCTGGCGGGTATCCCTCCACTGGACCTTCTAGTGGGAGAGATACTATTAAGGACATTATTAGTAACGTCTGGACATTGCGCCTAGAAAATAACGTCTCTCTGTGGCAAAAGACATTCTACCATACAGACTATGAGAAGCGCAAGCCGATCATGCTTGCACACCCTGCAGATACTGATTTATCGCACACAGTATACATGCAATACACGCCGCCAAATGAGAAGGCATTTGCCATTTATACAGATGGCTCAAAGACGGAAAAAGGCACAGGCTGCGCCTACTGTGTACTCCAAGAAGGAGAAATGATTAAAACTTGGGAAAGACGACTGGCAGACAAAAATACCGTCTTTCAGGCAGAGCTTCTTGCATTAAAAGCAGCCATCAATTTGGCAAAATATCAATTAGGATTAAAGGTCAACATATATAGCAACTCTGCCTCAAGTTTGGAGTCCATCCGAGGGCACAAGACAAGGAGTCCTTTGGTGCAAGATATTCAGAAAATTCTTCTAAGTATCACCAGATGACAGACCTATCCTGATCTGGGTTCCAGCTCATGTGGGTATTACTGGCAATGAAGCGGCAGACCTGCTTGCGAAATCGGCTGCCAATGACTCCAGTAGATTGGAAAACGCAGTAAGTGTTCCGCAGTCCTATTTAAAAAAAAACCACGCTCAATAGCCTTTTTCAAGAATGGCAGAAAAGATGGGAAAGGGAAAGCACAGGGAGGAGAACCTACAAGTTCTTTCCAAAAGTCACGTGCTCAGTTAATACATACAGCGGAGCACAAACTCAATTCTACACTGGCCATGGTCCCTTCCCACATTACCTTAAGAGATTCGGCATACGAGCATCAGATTTGTGTGAATGTGGTGCGGTAGATGATGCAGATCACTTCCTCTTCAACTGCCCACAAACCAATAAACTGCATTTAAAAATGCCAAGCAGTGAATACTGGCCGCAATGGGCGGAGAATACCCGCGGCAACAAGCAGACGAAAACTAAAATAGAGGAGGTAATCAGGCTTTGCTCAGCAAGATTCTAAGAAATTCTCCCCCTCTCTTGAGAATTGTATCTTCGCAGCATAATTTTAATAGCAATTCAAAATACTACAACAACTGAACATCAACACTAGGAAAATAGCTCACCCCGTAGAATAATAACAGGACTGTAAGAGCAAAACTATTGTAATGTAAGCATATTACTATCCAGTTTATATGTACTTGATAAAAATAATATTGTAAAGCAGTTTAAATGATATTGAAAATCCAGTCAATGTGTAAATGAATTACAAGTTTAATTTTGATTATCTCAGTAAAAGTATTGTAAATATGAATTCATATAATGTCTAAATGTACACATAACTGTCATGATTTTATGTATCTGTCATATGTAACTTGTACAAGACAATGATTGTAATCAACATATCTATGCTTATTCACAGGCCTTGTATGCCCATGTAATATTTATATGTATATTCTTACACGGAGGAAATTTTCCCTTCTGCCAGGATGACTACTAACACTGTAAGACTTTTACAACAAAGTCAGGTCAGTGGTTATCTCAGGCGGCGCTCAGCTGTGTAGAAATTAAATCAAAGTATTTTGATTGCACAAGCGAGCTTATGTTGATTTGATAAGCAAGGTCTTGCCATGTATGAATTATTTTGGCAGTGTCTTAAGAAGGTTGTAAATAACCTTTTATTAAATCTTTAAATGAATAGTAAGCACATTAATATTTTATGTTTATGTCTTTAATTATTTATAACATTAATATTTTGATGTCAGCTAGTAGAATGTGTAAAGAAGTTAAGGTTCATCATTCGTATGCTACTTGCAATTTCACTAAAGCCAAGAAAAAATATAATTTCTGTTATCTTGCTTTTCATTAAAAAGACAGATTCCTCACTTACTGGCTAGATGTAAATTTCCATGGGCTTTTTGGCCTGTAACCCCTGTTCATGTTGAGAGTGTTAGATGTGTAGCAGAATTGCACTCGTGGAGAAAATGAGTGTATGTGAATATCAAAAGATTTTAATGGGTCTTCAGACGTAACAGGATAAATGAGCCCATGTGTGTCAATCTGCAACTATGGAAAAACAAGGTAAAAAATACAGGTGGTAATTTAACCATGATAACACTCCTGTGTCATGTCCATATGGCATTATATTATATTTGTTAGCAGGCAATTGACCAAGATTTGATGCATTGCTATACAGTGGATATTGACTGGGACCCGAATCTCGCACTCTAAGAGACTTCTGTTAACTATTTGTATCTTCGACCGCTATAACCATGTCAGCACTTCATGCCTCAAAGAACTGCCCCATCGAAGCAAGAACCATGAATAAATACAGTTGCACTTTTCCTTTCAGCAATGCACAGATGTAAGGGGGAATGCAAATATCCAAACACTTTCGTTTTTGGCATATTTTCAGATATTCTGGCATAAAACTTTACAAATCAACACATTTAAATTAAACTGTATTCAAGTGTTTTTGTAAGATTTATGCAGTTTTATGTCTTTAAGTTTCATTCAATTAATGTAATGTCTTTTTCAAAACCATACCGATTTTTCAGCACAATCACATAAAACTAAATGGGCCTCTACTAACAAACACCATGATCAGCATGATGGAAAATCTAAAATTCCTTCTACGTCAAAAGAAGAGGATGTAAAAAATAATTCTGCTGAGAACTTAAATTTTGCTGATCAAGATTTTGTTTCTCACGATGAACCATCTCAGAACTGTAAGGAAAAATACAGTCAAAAGTCGTTAATCCGGACTCGTCGGGACTTCGGCGATTCCGGATTATAGATCATCAGTTTAAATCTCGTAAGATGGCATGCAGAAATTCTAAAATTAAAAATATGAAACCGTAATTTATGAAATAAAGAACAATTATGATCTAAAGGGTATCAAAATTTGCAAAAAGAAAAAGCTTAATATTTATTTGTTTACTTTATTAAACATTTCTTTCAATGTAAGTTGTTTATGTTTTGCTTCGTTTCATGTGATAATACTTTCTCTTTAATTCTATTAAACAGACATAATTTCTTGTTCAATTACAAAGTTCCGCTGTTCAAGTCCTATAATTGCTGTGTCTAGAACACCGATTAATTTGTCAATCGAAATTTTTTCATTTTCAATAACCTCTGTCACTTTCTTCGCTATGGAAAGCGAATTATAATGACGAGGAACTTGTTTTAAATCATATCAAAGACGGAGCATATCGAGATGAAATACTACATTTGGTAAGGAATTATAAGCCAAATAAAATAAAAACATCTGTGCTGAAGATAAGGATAGTGTTCACGGATCAACTTCCAATTCATTACGCGCCCGCGGCGGCGACCCCCCCCCCCCCCCCCCCCCCCCCCCGCCGAGCAGCGTGAAATTGATAAACAGATTTCGGATTTCAAAACGTACTTTCGCTTTCAATCCTTTACATATTAACAAATATATATCGGAAATTCTATTTGATATAATCGAAAGTTTAAGCTTACTTTTATAAAATTGCTCTTACAGTCTGCAAAAAATAATAAGCTGGATCCAATTCGAAAATTAAGGAACCACGCAATCATCAACATTAACTGAAATAGATAATTAGATAATTTTAGCTTATACGTCCATTATACATAAAACGCACACGCGAAAACGTATTCTGCACTTGCGCACACTCATATGCGCAGTCGTAAAAGGTCTTACGTGCACGCGTAAACACCTATGCGCATGTGTGAACGCGGCGCATGCGCAGAAAGTTTTTAGTTTTGAGGTCTGGATTATAGATCATTCCGAATTATGGGTGTCCGAATTAACGACTTTTGACTGTAATTTCTTTCTTCTTATTATTTTTTAAATTTTTGTTCTTTATTTGCAAATGAATTAGAATGCTCAGTAATTTTGTGTAATATGTAAAAACTATTTCTTGAGTTGATAAGATTCAAATAAGTACTAGATTATTAAAATAATGAATATAAAATATTTAATGAAATTAATATTGTCTTTTACAGCTTTACATATCTTACTAATGTTTCATTTTGTTGAACACTATTATAGTGATTAAATGAGAATTGAGAAAAAAATTATTTTAAAAATTTATATTCTATATGTTAATTTGAAATGATAAATTATACATACAATGTTTTCTGCATTCAGAAATATACAAAAACAAAAGAATTGAACAGAATCCATATGAGAAAGACGAAAGACTTGAAAGAAATCTTAATGTAAATATGAAGCTATAAAAATGAAACTTTGAAAGCATTGGCATAAATAATTTTTTTAGATGAAATTGCACCATGTTTTCATGTGTATTTTTATGTATGCCCTTATCTTAGCTGCGAGCTGTCCCAGTATTTCATTGCATCTAAAAGGAAATCAGATAATTTAAACTTTTAGCATTTTCTTTGGAAAATTTTCCTAGCAATAATTAAGTTATGCAAATTTCTTTCCCTGTACCACTTAAATAGCTTCCGGCTTTCCAGCAAAAGTTTTATCATTGAATTTCATTTGATCTCAATTGTCTTAATCTCTAGCCATTTGTATAATCTTTTATGAAGGTTGAGTCAGTGCTTTTTTTTTCCCTTTCCATTATCATAATTTTTACTTCCAATGCGCAAAAAGTCTTTGGAAAATTGTCCTCAGACAATGAGGTACAATGTGGAGTTAAAATAAATTGGTAACGGAACCTGAATCAAGACGTTTAAGAACAAAAGTTTAAAATACCTTGAAATCTATTTGATCTTGAGCTTCCCAACCAATGTTTCAATGTTTCTATTCAATCAGTTGATGTTTATGATTACTTTTGTTTTACATTACTACATGAACTTTGAGTATTAACTTCAAAATTATTGCATAATTAGGTCAATCGAGTATAATATGTAATCATACGCTAAAAAAATATTTAAAAAATTACTTTCAGAATTTTGAAGTGTTTGGGAATCAACCACAATTTATATAGCTTACATTTTTTTTAATTATATGCATGGAGAGAACTAAGTGTATAAAATAGCAAAAAAAGTACGTGTGGTGAATAATGAACACATTCTTTTTTAGAAATAAGGTTTGAAAGTTGTTCTGTAGTGAATAATACACTTTCCTGTTTATCACCATCAGCATTATTAACCCTCTGGCTGCTCATCCCGTGATTTCTGTAGCAAAATCTGTTCATCCCGCGATTTCCGTGAGCATGTGTTTTTCTTTCTTTATTGAGGAGCATTGAGGAGCACATCCCGTTTTTTTCCTGTTTAACGCCTGAAATAAATTATATACAGTATTAGACATTCAGTGTACGTTTTGGCCAACAGATATCGTTAGTTTTCCACTAAATTGCGGCATTTGAAGGCACGTGGTATTACCACTCAAACTCCACTATTTGCACTTTTTTCGTACAAAAATGGCTGCTAGAAAACATTCAACGATTATCTTGATTATTTTATTAAATTGTTGAATTATTAGATTTATTGATTAGATTAATAATTAGATTGATTATTAATTAGATTTATTGAATCTGGTGCAAAGACTGTGAAGTTGGACTTTGCCTTGAACCCTGTTTTGAACTTTTATCATACTAAACTGCATTTCTAAAATATTTTTTTTCTCGGTGCATTATATTTTCTTAAATTTTATATATTTTACTTTTTTATATTGTGCAATAAATAGAAATTAACTGAAATTTATTTAAAAAAAATTTTTTTTTTTTTTGATGATAGCGTCTGAAACTGGTTTTTCTGGCAACTTAGTTTCTCATGATAAAAATCTATATTAAAAAAAAAAATCTAGAAAGGAAAAATTCAGTTATTAATTCTCCAATATATATAGATTTAAAATATTCGAAACAAAATTTGCACAATTTTTGAAGCGATTTTGGTCCACAAATTGAGTGGTCAGAGGGTTAACAGGCTTTAAATACAGAAATAGCTGTTTTAACAGCATCAAAAAACAAACTTTAATTTTGTGGTTTATAAATATTTAATAAAGTATCTAAAATAATTTAATAAAATAATAATATAAAAATCTATTTATATCATTTATTATTTTAGGAAAGAATTGAGTATCTATTATTTTTAATTCTTAGTTACCTGTAAAACCACGGCATGTTAAATTTTCTGTCACTACTACAGATCTTTGATGATTAGTGCAGAGTGAGTGTCAAAAATAGCATAAAGAACTTTCTCTTCTTTGAAAATAGTTGATGATTAAAATTAGGATCTAGTGTTAAGAACTTTAATCAAATTTTATGCTCAATAGAAATTCATTTTTCCTTATTGTAAATTTTCTTACTGGTAAGACTTGGCGCAAGTGCAAACTGTAAATTATTTCTATTAATTCAGTCCTCTCATTTGCATTTTCTCTAGAAGCTGAAGATTTACTAAATAAATAAATATTTTGGGCAGTGAAGCAGTTGTATAGTTATAGCTCCTTTTTGAAGCTTGGACTAACCAAATTAATTTTAACAGAAGTTTTTCTTTTTTTTTTTAATCACCAAAAATGAAAGCAAGTGCACTTCTTCAGTATCTGGGTAATATCCTCTGCAGCTAGACACACAACAAATATATGCCATTCTTCAGCAAATTACCAGTAGTCACTCAGTATCATACTTGTCAGTCCTTTATAAATATGAGTGCAGTATACAAATCTCATGATACAATTACAAATGCATTGTACCATGAATAAGGTTTGTTATGTTTAGTAGTTTCCCTGCTGATGACATCACTTGCAGCAGAAAAGGAGATCTTGTGTGATCTTTCATTGTATGCGTTTCACCATTTTGGTCAAACATCAAACTTATTTTTTTCAAACTTATAAAAGTAAAACATTTCAAGTGCAAGGATCTTTAACGCAGTTTCAAGACAAAAATTTTAGTTCAAGTATATTAAAATTGTTCACAACGTAGAAAAATATGTTTGACCATTCATATAACAAATACAATTAACACTTGACATGCGTGTATACTTCAAAGCATTTGGCTTTATAATTTGTCTCTTGATACGATCAACATTACTACTTTCTTTCATTTCCACGGAATGGATTGAAGAGATGAGACTGACTTCTTTTTTGGATTGCCAAACTTGTACCAATATATCATTTTTTCTTCGAAAGATTGCTTCTCCTTTTTTCAAATTAGTTTTTTTTTTCAGGCACTCTGGTAGGCCTCTATTCTTCCTAATTGTTCCGCAAATTTTTTTTTTTTTTTTTGTAAAAGGGCTTCCTTGTTATAGACGCTGTTTTAGTAACTGTCCATGCACAAATGGTACCAGACATCAGTATATGGCAAAACTACTGTGAGTATCGTTTCAATCAAACGTAATCCTTGAGCTGCATAAACTTCAAAATTGCAAATATAACCAATGTCACTTTCAAACAATATTCGTATGAGTATGCTGTATTTTATAATTTTACCAGCTTTGTAAACTCTAAAAAACAATCGTCCTTTCCAAGGTATTATGCCCTCATCTAATGATACTTGTTGTTTCAGTTTGTAAATGTTATTGAATTTTTCAACAAAATAATTTAGTATAAGCCTGACTTTGAATAATCGACGTTCGGGATGTCTTCATTGTTATGGAAATGCCAAGCCTTCTATATTTGGCGAAATCTATCCCTTGACATAGTTTTTGAAAAAAACAGTGTACTTGTGCAGATATCAGTTGGCCAATAATAGTCTCGGGAATGTTTATGAACTTGTCCCGTGAAAATAATAAGCCCCAAAAATTTCTTCATCTCTGGAATCGTACTATCTCTCCATTTCATGCTTTTGGGAGATATTTTGAACTGATTCATATTTTGATAATAATACTTGTTTGATTCTGCAACTAAATGTGCAGAAAAGTCATCGCTTATAAATAACTTTACTGCATCAGCTGTGGATTCAGGAACATTAGCCATGTTAGTTATCCCAGGATGACACAAAAACTTCAAGGTCTGGAGGATTGTCAATCGATGACCATTCATCTGCTTCTTCATCAAAAATTGTTTCAGAACTACTAGAAATTCTTCTTCGAACGAACACTTCGGAGAACGTGGAATAATGTCATCATCGTCACTTTCTTCGATATCTTGACTTTCAGAATCACTATCATATGAAAAGTCCGATAATCTGTCAGCGCATATTTCTTCATCACTATCTTTGTCACAACGGTTCATTTTATCAGTTTATTTAATCAATAATAAAAAACCAAGTTTCAAATTAATTGACAAAACACATCTTGTATGTTCTGGAGCTAAGAATTGGATTGAAGACAAAATAACTCAACAAAAGACCAAGTAACTCGACAGTCATAACTTGTTGAAAGAAAAAATGTAAACCGTTGCATAGCAATGCAAACAGCCCCCATATAATGTCATACATACATATAATTACACGTATTTAATAGATTTGTGTTGGTTAGCGGGTATCCACCACAAACCTACTAAATACGTATTTTTACGTGACCTGCGCTCCAGTGACAGACTGCAAGAAATGTAAAAATACGTTGCCCGCATGCCAAGTGTTAAATACCAGATGAAATACATGCAAGTACCTTTTGAATAAATATTAAATGTAAACACCCAAAATTTAATATTCTGATATTAGGAAAAAAGTTAAGCAATGCAATTTTCTTTCTTAGTGTATAAATTTTTAGTTGTGAGATTCCTGGATATGACAACTTAAAACTGTCAACATTTTGGTGGTACATTCCCTTTCTATGCAGAACTTCATAGCTAAAAGATTCAAGATCAGTGCTCATCATAAAAGTTTAGGATCAGTGTTTTTTATCCATCCTCATTAAAAGATTATGATTAGTCTGTATGAAGTCCATCTAGGTAGAATTTTAACTTTTTTGCTGCATAGACTAGTGAGGCCTAATAAAAGAAGGGTTAATTCATAGAGCTTTCCTCTGTGAAACAGGAAGGGAGGAATGATGACATAGTCATGTTGGCACTGACTGCAAAAATGTAATTCCCAGCAAAAAAATAAACATTTTAAATTTGGGAAAGAAAAAGAAAAAAAAAAAAAAAAAAACTTTAAAAACACTGTGCATGAAAAAACAGCTTTCATTTAGAAGAGATGATGTCATTACTGTAAAGCATTTATACGTTAAAAAGTGAATAATACTTAGTTATTAAATAATAAATACAGTACAAAGTCAGAAATCTGGACTCGTCGGTACTTCCGTGATTCCGGATTTGGGGTTTTTCCCGATAATACATCATCAGTTTAAATCTAGTAAGATGGCATGTAGAAATTATAAAATTAAAAATATGAAATCGTGATTTGTGAAATAATGAAATTAAAAATATGAAATCGTGATTTATGAAATAATGAAGTATTTATGATCTAAAGGGTATCAAAATTTACAAAAAAAGCTTAAAATTTATTTGTTTACCTTATTAAACATTTCTTCCAATGTAACTTGTTTTAAGTTGCTTTGTTTTTTTGTGCTAATACTTTCTCTTTAATTCTATAGACAGACATAATCCCTTGATTAGTTACATTGTTGAAGTCCTGCAACTGCTGTTTCAAGAATTCAGACTAACTGGTGAATCAAAATGTTCTCATTTTCAATAAATTCTGTGTCACATTTTTCACTATCGGTAGCGGTATTTTCTAGATCTAGAACCATACTACTGATTTCACCATTCATGATATAAAAACTTCTTTTATTTCATCTTCGTTTATTACCGTTTCTCCACATTTCTTTACAAAAGTCCCTTAATTGGAAAATTTCACCTTTGTTTTGCGATATCCAAAAACCTTTAAAATTAGCGGCTGTCATCATCAAATTTAGCTATCCTTCACTGTACATATTTAGCTATGCATCGTAAGCTTTGCGACTAGCGACAAGTTGTTCCGTTAAATTTTATCTTGCATCTATTGCGCACTGAGATAATTAAGCCTGAATTGTATTAGTTTAGTTATTTATTATACTTATGTCTAATTTCTTGCACATGCTTAGGCTTATCAAAGTTTTGAATAAATGAATTCCCACATATACTTAAGCCTTATTGAGGGCCGGCGCTAGGTATCTTATCGCGTGATGCAGTCTTTGTGGGTCCAAAATTCTGCGACTCCGCGCGGTCATACGAGCCCTGGCGCTGGTTCTTATGTGAATAACAAATCAGTTATTCTTAATTCAAATAGCCTTAAATGTAATCTTTGGGTCTATGAGTATCATCAACAAAATCTATTTTTAGCACATAGAAAGAAATTTTTGGTAAATTTTTTCTCGTCAACATTTTTTAGCGCATTTAACTTAAATCTGCTATCATCGCCAAGCATAATGTCAACATAAAAGGTTACCATACTCCTTTATTATTCAATTACTAACATAAAAAAATTGTTCAGGCATCGCTACATTAGTCATTATTTAAGTTGTCATGTTTTAATAAACATGTGGTGATGAAAGGAAAGTATAATAGATAATGATTTGCCAGGTTGGTATTAAATGAACGATGTATCGATGTGGAATGTTTCGGTTGAGATATGTGCCTAGCAAATACGCAGCAGCGGAGCCAAATTGCTGATCGTGCAAATTTATATTAAAATTATTGTTTCTTCAATAACAAGGTATTTTATTTAGTGTCGAAGTGAAATTAAAACTCTGTGTTTTATTATGTGCGGAGAGGGGAATGAAATGCACATGCGTAAAGCCTAGAAGAAAAACTATTTTGGTGATTTTGAGGTCTGGATTTTAGATCATTCCGGATAATGGACGTCCAGATTTCGGACGTTATACTGTAATAGTTAAAATACACTATGTTTTCTTAAAAGTTATAGTTTTTACCCCCCTGTGCATTTAGTATTAAACTATAAAGAAAAAAATGATGGCATTCATTATCTTCATTTGCATACTAAGTTGCAGAATTCCATTACGCTTGCTGAGATAATTTTAATAACAGCTTTTTAAAGTTTAAGGGGGAGGGAAAAAATCTTAATTTGGCATAGTGTTGAATTTATATGTCAGTTTCTTTTTTCTGCAGCTAAAGAATGGGAACTTATGTTTGACTGCCCTTGAAATTGATAGTTTTATTCAAAATTTAATCTAATCTAAGCCTGCTTTTTTTACCTAATTATAAATTTAACAGTAGCATGTTTCTTTACTAATTTGATATAATAACAGTTATTGTAAAAATAATTGTCTAACTTACATTTGTACACATACTACATTACATTTAAATAAATACAAGCTTGTTGTCTTAAATTTGATAATACAACTTTGCTTGCAGTCTAAAGAGAATTATTTAATCTTTGAAAAGAGGGACAAAGAAGGAAGATCTTTTTATGCGAAATTACTTTTATTGACGTTTTATACAATTATAAATTAGCTAAAATGCTGAGCTAGCTTTGTTTTTTACAAATTGTAATTGCATTCTTGTCTACAGTTAGGGCATTCAGCAATATTTACACCACCATTTGCAAGTTCTATTTTAAAATCATTTGTATTTGATTTATTAGTCCTATAATCATTTTCGTAATTGACCCCAAAAGGATGTATCTTTAAATTTAATTTGTGTAGTATTTCAAAAGTACTCTGCATTAGTTTTCTTTTCTTGACACAGTATTGGATTTCAACTGTTTCTTTTGGGGCAGTCCAAGTAAGCAATTTTTCATGTCTTCACAATCACTGCATAGAAAATGTTCGGCATTCTTCACATTAATAGTATCTCGACACGTGTCTCTTCATGACTTCCTCTCTTCACGATAATTTTTTTTTTTTCATCAAAAGCAAATTGTCCTTTGGAAAAATCAGAAATATATACTAGCACTATCTTTCTCATTTATGAATTTTATGGCACTTTGCTACAATGCAAGAAGAGCTTCCTTGAGCTTTACTGAATAGATGAACAGGGTATGTAAACCTATGATGACATCTGCAAAAAAGCAGAAGATGAGTAACAGACAAATACTGGACTGGAATAAATTTTAAAATAACTGCTACATTATCTTAATAGAGTCTACTTGGCATTTCGTTAGGTAAGCATGTGCTTGGCTTTAGTTCCATGTGTTGATTCATAATGAATGCTGTCTGGAACTCTGCTAGATTTCTACATCCTTCCCAGTCTTTGACAGTTGTATTCCATGCACCAAATTGCCACACCACATGGAGGATCACGACTATACTGGTCATGTCAATAACCACGACAATACGTGCCCCAGATAGCCACATTGGGAGGACACGATCTTTGCTTCACTGTGGGATTGTAAAACATTTATCCTCTTCAGCGCTGCACAGCTGCAAAGGAGAATTTTTGAACACTCCTTTGTAGCATAAAAGGGAATAAAAGAGCTTAAAAGGGAATAAAATGAGGGGGGCTTTCATTGGTACTTGCCCAAATTTAAACTTTGATGTTGAATCTGTTGTTATGTTGAAAAGTTGCATCCTTTCCTTTACATGTAAACCATCTGATTTGATTAGATTCTTATCCAGTCAAACTTAGTTATCTTCTTCTAGAAAATATTCTCTTATAGTTTTTTAATTAAAAAATATGACACATTGTATAATTTTTAATGCTGTCATCTAAATTAATCTTCCATTAGAAAATTCGTTAGTTTCACAAAGCATTGTCAGTCATTCTCATTGACATATGATGACCACATGTTAAATTTTAAAACTAATCCGTAACTAAATATATCTTCATATTTTTAATTAATAAAAACTAGTCAACTGGTGAAAATACTTAATAATTTTCTTTTTGAATTTTTATTTTGGTTTGCAGAACGCAGTTTGAAAATCACTGATCTGAGTCTGTCTGTTTTTTAATGATTCATTCTTTTTAAAACTCTTGAAAAATTTAGAAATGCTTTGTTTGATTTAATTTTCACTTTTTTTTTTTTTTTTCTTTTTTTCTCTCTCTCTGATTTCTTTTTCACAAATGAACCTTTAAATAACTGATTTCATAGTATTACTTTATACTGCTTTTGAGGTAACCAGTCAACTGTCTGTGCTGTTTCTGTGATTTTATTACATTTTAAAAATTCAATAAAGAACACACACGCAAAAAAAAAAAAAAAAAAAAAAAAAACTTGATAGCTATCTTGTAAAATACTAATAAAGGATTTCATCTGAGCTTCAGTATGTAACATCAGTAATTGAATTTTATTGTGGCTTGGTTAGGCTTATCGTCAAAACAAAATTGCAACTGATTGCTCTATTCTTGGGTACTTCCAAATGTAGGACAGCTACTTCACATGAACCAAAGCAGTTGTGCTTTTTTTCTGGATATCTAGCTGTAATTTTAATAGAATGTAAATAATTGGACAAACTTTGAGTATTATAATCTCGATTAGATTATTTTTTGATGCATAGTTTCATAGTATTACTGTAAAACAGAATGTTGTTAGGAGCAGTGAAACTTCAAAAATACTTTTCCAAAAAGGTTTCATGATTCTGGTTACTAGCGTATTTATTATAAGTTTTTTTCTTCTTTGTGTACTATTTGTTATTTTTCAGTTTCAGATTTGTTTTTATATTTAGGTTATCATACGAGGGCTATCCAGAAAGTAGATTACGTTTTGGAATAAAAAAATAAACAAAGTATAGGAAACAAATTTTATTATATACAGATGAAAGCCACACTCAAATACTACTTTTCTACAAAGTCACCATACAAATTAAGGCATTTATCGTAGCGATGTACGAGCTTGGAAATTCCTTCGTCGAAAAATTCGGCCGCCTGCGCCTTCAACCACTTCATTACCTCTTCTTTGCCTTCCATCTTGCACAAAACTTGTGGTAACCAAGCTTTTCGCTGATGATTTCGTGCAACAACTTCGCGAAATTTGTGGAAAACTCAAGAAAGTTCCGTTATTGTGAAATTTCGATTTTCACGGACTTTAGCATCGACTTTTTCGAGAAGTTCGGCGGTCACTATGCTGGGTCTCCCACTTCGATCTTCGTCGTGAACATTGGTTCAGCCATTTTGAAATCTTATGACCCACTGACGCACTCCACCTTCAGTGATAATGTTTGTCCCCATACACTTCACGAAGCTGCCGATAGATTTCTATCGGTTTACAGTTTTTTGCAGTCAGAAACCTTATTACTGAGCGCACCTTGCAGCTCGCGGGATTTTCAATTAACGCAGACATTTCAAACCGTCACAGTATCTGAACGGAGCACAGCACGAACCTCTCACTAGCACGGCTAGATGCAGACTGAGCTGCGCAACGCTCTGACCCCAAGATGGCCACCCTAGCCCCGCCCCTAGCGGACACAGACGGAAACGTAATCTACTTCCTGGATGGCCCTCGTATTTTAGATTTGCGGGATTTAGGACAGTTTTTATGAACCACATTTTTTTGGTTTAAAAATTTCTTCATTAAAAAATTTTATAAGTTTGCATTTCATTTTATATTATTTTGGTTTACAAAATGTATCACAATATACCGTGTTTGACGGCATATAAGACACACCCTTATTTAGAAGGCCACACACAAGGGGAAAAAAAGTTTGAATAGTCCGCGCGAGAGCTCGGTACCACAATAACTTAAAATGTGGTTTCTTTTAGTTCTCACATTTCGTAAAAGCCAAATAAACAA